CATAAGGGAGAGAGGCTTGTGGATACATTTTAAGTCACCACAAAAGCCGGGCTGGTGTTTTCAGAGCTGCTTTGTGATGTCCTGACCCCTAGAGCACTGGGAGGGATCCTCCTTTGGTGCTGCAGCTGGGGCAGTGATGCGGGGCCCGGTCCATTGCCAGGTACCACGAGTGGATGCAGTCGGAGGAGCTGCAGCGACTGACAGCCTCGGAGCCCCTTAGCCTGGAGCAGGAGTACGAAATGCAGCGCAGCTGGCAGGAGGACGCTGACAGTGAGCATGTGGAGTGCTTTCTGAAGGAGGGTGGGAATGGTGAGCAGGTCCTTTCCATTCTGGGAAGGATCCACAATGAGCTGGGAGTGCCCTGTGAGTGGGTTCCCCTAAACCAGAGGGGATGTGAGATTTTCTACAACAACAGCTTGAACTGTTTTTCTCATTACAGCTGGTATATATTCAGGGAAGTGGAGAATATCAACTTCCTCGAGCTGTTTGTGTCCTTTTTATGCAGTTTTCCAGAGACTAGTGATTCATTTTGCACAGAATTTTGTGCTGAGCTAAAAAACATTAAGCATCACTCCTGCACAGCCAACACTCCCCAGGTCTGATTGCTGAAAAAAGGTGAAGGAGGTTGTATTTCCCCTAGATTAACTGAATTATTTTATGACCACCTGGTTGAGATGTGTTGGTTGAATTGGTTCCCTGACTCTCCTACAGGTAATGAATCACTGCCTATAAAAGCCTGGTAGAAATTTAGTAAGCTGGAAAATACTGAAGCTGGCAAAGACTTCAGTCTGGAGCATTTGTCTTAGGTGGCATCAAAAACCTTACTCAGAGCAGCAGTAGCATGGACCAGGTGAATCACTCAGTCTCAGTTTCTTGTGCACCAAACAATTCTTTGGCCCAACTTCCTGCTGAGTAAGACAAGGCACAGAGACCTCAGACATGGGAAGAAAGTTTTCCCTTTCTTTCACAGGCTGTTTCTAGTCTTGGTATCTGTGTCACCCTCACAACGGGTTTTTCCAAGTATTTCTTTCATTTCTGCAGGTGGGAACAGGCACACCTGGTGTGGGAAGCCAAATTATTAACTCTTCCTTGCTGTTAACACATGAAAACTCTTGTTCCCCTGTCCATTACACACCTTTAATTTAATTCTTTGGTAATTTATGAATAATTATTAGCACACTCTGAATATGCTGCCACATTCTTGTTTTCCCCAGAGTGTACCTTCATTGTGCTGGACTCAGAGCGCTGGCCTGGGCAGGCGGAGGAGAACTCCATGGTGGGGGATGTGAATCTCTTCCTCAACAACGCCGAGGACCCGACTGTAGGCGAGATTGAAATCATGATTGCAGGTTAAGTTCTGCTTCATAGCTTGGGGCTCTGTCACTGTGGCTGTGTGCTGCAGACAGATGTTGACAGATGTTCCTGCATCAGCTTTTTATTCTACTTTACCCTGGCTGTTCAGCCCTGATCAGTCCATGGTGTGTCCAGGTCACAGCCTCTTCTGAGAAGTGTCTGGTGTGGCTGGTTTTTCTCCCCTGACTGGATGCTGACTCTGCTGTCTCTTTCAGAGCCCAGCTTCCGTGGCAGAGGGTTTGGCAAGGAGGCAACTCTGCTGATGATGGCCTATGGTGAGGGTGGCTCAGTGCATGGGAACAGGGGTGTGGTGGGTCTGGGATCTGGCAGCACATAATTCCCAGTGATACAAGCAGGGTAGTAAGGGATGCATCTGCCCCACAACTGGAGTCCTGTGCTTTTATAGATGTGACGTGTAATAGAAGTGCCTCTCTGATTTCTCCTGCAGGAGTGAGAAAACTGGGGATCACCAAGTTTGAGGCTAAGATCGGTCAGGATAATGAAGCCAGTATCTGCATGTTCAAAAAGCTTCACTTTAAGGAGGTGCAGTAGCAGCCCATCTCCCCAGAGAATACAAGCAGCACTGCCCTGTGGCTGGGATTGAGCTGCTTTCTCTCTGTGTGCTGCAGGTTGCTGTGAGCAGCATTTTCCAGGAGGTGACGCTGAGGCTGGATGTCAGCGACCAGGAGAGACAGTGGCTCCTGGAGCAGACAAACCACGTGGAGAAGAAGAGCTACACTGAGCTGCAACAGCCAGTTGGGGTGCTGGACACCTGACAGACACCTCCAGACACCACCTGGGTTTCCAGGGAGAATCTGGACGTTGTTGCAAGGTCTGGGTGTGGAGGACACCAGTGAGCCAACATTGGAACTGTTTTCATCTGTCTCCTTCAGCTGCTTTGTCATCTTATCAACTTTGTACTTTGCTCAGTCAGCCAGGATTACTGCCTGAAAGTTGGACCTGGGGAACAGCCACTAACTCACAGGTTTGGCTACAAATGACTCTGACTTTGATGTGCTGTTCCAACAGATCCTAAAATCACCAGCAGTTGATTCCTGGACAAGAAGATACTTCTCCCACTGCTTTTAAATCAGGATTCATCAGCAAGCAGGTTTCATATGCTGGCAGCTCAGTCTTTTTTATTCTTGAAATAAAAAATAAAAAAAATCACAACAATCCGAGGTGCCTGAGCACTATGTGGGGCTCAGCCGTTCTCTTTGGCAGCTCAAGAAGTGGTTTAGAAGTTGTAAAGGACAGCAGAGACTCTTTCAACCCAGTTTCCTGGGGTCTGGTAGGTTGCAGAGGGGCACTGCTGGGTCCTGGCAGGGAGAAGCCCAGATGTGGGTGAGCACAAACAAAGGGCAAGTTAATGTGATGGAAATTGTTGATATTGGCTGATCAAGACTAGAGCTGAGCCCTGCCGTGGTGAGGAGGGTGAGATCTGCATGAGACTTCTGAGACAAACCCCCTTTAGCTTCAGGGCTATGCTCCAGATCTGAAAACTTCAGGCCAGCAGTGCTGTTGCACTTCTTTTTCCCTGGCTGCTTTGATGAAAGCAAGGAGAACATACTGAAAGGAGACAGCTTCCTTCTTCCACCAGCTCAGGACTTGTTCTGCTGAGCCTGGAGACTCCGTTTTCTGCTCTCCATAAAGATAAGGATGAATGTGGGGGAAATATCTCTTACTGGGGGGCAGATATATTAGGCAGATATATTAGGGCAGGAGTTACCCAGCCTCTGCTGCAGTAGATCTGAGATCCACGGATGAAAAAGAGGCACTTGCCTGACTCCCACTGGATAAACTTCCCTGTGCAGTTACTCAGCCTGACCCCTCCTGCCCTGTCCACACACACACACTGTCCACAGCAGGAAAGCTGCTAAGAGGAGAGGCCAGAAGGTAAGAAGGATAACTGATGTTCCTGTTTTCCTACTGTAACAGCAGCTTTAATGGCTAACCCTAGACCAGAAGTTATCTGTTTCAGTAATGGAGGATCAGGTAATAACTTTCAGATTTGCCCAGGGATGTTTTGGAGATTGGCAGTCTGTGGAATTTTTAGTGTTGCCATGCTTATATTTTTAGGGCCTGGGGGCTTTAGTTTTCCAATTTTAGCTAATGTAAATACATTATTCCTGTGACTAATATTAAAGCCAAGCGTGGGAACAGTGTATCATGGCATTTTAAACAAGTATTTAGTGTGGATTTAGTTGTAGTGAAAGCTTTGTGTGGTAATAAAGTGAAGAGCAGCTCTATTTCCCGCTGGGATTACCATGACAAGGGCTACTAATCCTCCTGCTCCTCATCACCTGCTGCAGGCAGAAATGGATTCTGTCCTCCAGAACAAGATTTGCAGAACCTGCTGGGTGAACTGCTGGCTCTGGTGCTCCTTCCATGAAGCATCTCATCCCTCTGCCAGAGGAGCAAAGCCAAACTGGCAGGAGAGATGTAGCTTGGCTGGGATTTGCTCCCCTAAAACCCGACCAAGGTGGGAAAAATAATTTCTTTTAGCCTCTGCAGCCAGGGGGAAGGGGCAGAGTGATCTCCTGTCGCAGCTCCCCATGCCCAGCTGGTTGCTCTGGAGCCAGCAAGGGCCCTGCTTGGCATCCCCGGTCCCCGGCAATGCCGGTGCTGCCCCGGCTCCACAGGCGGCTGGGAACAGCCTTTCCCTGGCAACCCAAAACAAAGTTGGGTCTGTCCTGGAGCTCAGCCCGCCCCAAAGGCTGGGGGGAGAGTCCCAGTACAGCTCAAACAGGGTTCCCACAGGGAACCAGTGCCCAGCTGCACTGAGCAGGCCAAGAGGCAAAAGATGCTGCTGGGACCCACTGGCTGCCTCCCACTCCTGCCCTGCATGGGCTGCCCCACCCTGTGGCATCCGTGCCAGGTAGGAGTGTCCTGCTGCCCCAGTGGGATGAGGATGGGAAAATAGGGGATGTGGGCTCACCTTCCCTCAGAGGACATGTCTTGGGAGGATGAGACAGGTTGGAATGGGCTCCCCCAGCTTCCAGGAGGAAGTGACAGCCTGCACATCCCCTGGAAATCTGGTGGCACTTTGACACTTGGTGTCATTTGAGATGCAAAGATCTGTGACCATTTCTGTGCTCAGGTAGAAGTTTATTTGCAGATTTGGAGCACAAAACAAGAGTGTGCAGAAGGGGAGGAAGCAAAGATACCAGACAGAGGCAATGCACAGCCCTGCCTTGTCCTGCTGAGCCACCAGGGCTATGTCCATTCATTCAGAGGGACAAGCACCCCTCTCCTCATGGGTCCCCCCTGCCTTCCCTCAACCCAGGTGCAACCCAGGCTCATCCCAAAAACCCCTATAGGGACTGGGGGCACATCTGGGCTCCCCCAGCACAGCCACTGCCCTCCAGCCTGGCTGGCAGACCCAGATTAGAGCTTTGCTTCACCCTCCCCCCTTCCCCTGCACTCCCCAGGGGATTAAAGCCCATTAATCACCCTGAGGCATTAACCCCCACCGGGACCAGCTGGTGCCTCCCCAGCCCCCTCAACCTGTCCCCATCAGGTGCTGAGGGGTAACCAGACCAGGCCCAGTGTCCCCCAGTTACCTCTCTTTCCCCTAAGCCCCTGGCCACAGCAAACCTTCTGCATCCCCTCAGGCTCTGGAAGGATTTAGACTTAAACCAGACTTGTGAAGTCAGAAAGGTTTATTCCAGTAAACAGAATTTCTCTTGAGCTCAACAGTACAACAACACCTGATTGTAGCACATGGAAACAAAACACCCACAGGAAGAATTTCCACAAAACAAAGTTTTTTAAAAAAAGTGATTGGAAAAACACTTATTTCAGAAAAAAAAAAAAAAGTCTATAAGAAGCTTTTAAATTAAACAGTGTTGGATTCAAACCCTGATTGGCTCTGTCTCCTGGAGTGTGTGGGAGCAAAGGAGACTATTATTGCTTGCTGTGCTGGCTCCAGGCACCCTCTCCTCTCCCAAAATTGCCCCAGGGCAGAGTGCTGGGCACTTCCCAATGCTGGACACCTGCACCCCTCCCTGCAGCTGAGGAGGCAGAGGGACAGAGTCATTGTGGACGGAGCTTGCCAGGTCAGGGTCACACACCCTGGCTGTGGTCAGTGGCTGGGCAGGTGGGATATGGTAGAAGACACTAAAAGCCTCATATTTTGCAGTTAAAGGATAATTTGGGGGGCTATCAAATGGAGATGGGATAGGGAAAAAAACAGGGAACAGTGGGGACTGTAGGGACCAGGAGTGTTGGGCATCAGGCCACCCCAAATTCTTGATCCCTCCCAAACCCCTGCTTGTGCCTACCAGGGTGTGCAGGGCTTCAAGGCAGGGCTGGAGAAGCACGCTGGGGATGAGCTTTTGGGAGAGGGCACCCCCAGCATCCGTGTCCCAGAACTGCTCTGCAGGGATGCTCAGTGGCCACCAAACCCCAGCACTTGAGTCAGGGTGGTAGGAAGCAGCCCCACATCTCCACCAGGAGCCCATGGCAGGGAAGAGAGGAGTGCAGGAGAGGTGGATATGGGGCTGGGGAGGGCTAGAAGACCCTCACCCTGCCTCAGGGCCTTTACAGATTGCTGAACAGTTCATTTTTCTTGCTCCAGTCCATCTGGGGTGCTCTCTTGCTGGTGCGCTTCTGGTGCGCCCGCTCCTTGGCCACAGCCAGCGGGATGTCGAGGTCCAGGAGGGAGCCAGATGCTGAATGGTGTTTATCACCCTCCTGTGTTTGAGGCTGGGGATGAGAGGAGGTGTCAGCCCCACTGTGTGTCCCCTGGACAGCCCCATGCTGGGGGCTCAGCCCAGCTCCTGCTTTCCAGCCACTGTCCCCCTCCGGCACTCCCAGCCCTACCTCGCTGTGGGTCTCGCTGGAGTTGGGGGACATGGCCAGTGGCACCGGGCTGGATGGGCTCTCAGACACCGAGTTGGATCGTGGCTCTCCACCATTTTCCTGGGGGGAAGCAGGGAGGGAGTGTGAGCTCCAGCCCTGGGGCTTGAGAACAGCCTCCAGAACTGCAAGTCTCATCCAGGGGGCCATCCTCCTCACACATAATCCTCTGTAAACTCCAGGCACATAAATACCTCTAGCGCTGCCCATCCAGGGCGGGGAAGGATTAAACTCCAGCCTGACTGCCCTGGCTTTAGCAAGAGCAGGAGGAGGAGAAGGAGGGTATCTGCAGAGCTTGGTTCTACTGTCCTGCTTTCAGCATGAGGGCTCCCAACCCCAGAGCATCAGAAGGCAAAACAGCCACCTCCACGACACTCAGCACCACAAGCACCCCCCTTTCTGGAGGACACCAGTTCCCTTCCCAGTGGCAGCCTGAGACCACTGTGGTGTCTGGTGGCATCACCCACCCATGGGCAGAGAGGACATGAACAGGAGTGTCCCTGACTGGAGATGGGCATAGATGAATTAAAATCAAGACAAGGCTCTTACCTTCCCGATATCACCATTGGCAACTGGTTCTGGCAAGGGACCTGTGGGATAAGCATCAGGTGAGGATGTGTTTGCTTTGACCCCTTGCCAATGGAGGGCAAGCCAAGGCTGTACCATGGCCAAGGCTCACACAACACTGCCCAGGGTGTGGCCAGGTCCTGAGTTTTTTAACCACCCACTGCAGCCAGCCCCGCGGCACAAGGGAATGCTGCCAGACATATCCCCATGATGGCAGCTGTGATGTGGAGCCCAGTGAGCCCCCTTCCCCATCCTCCTGGGGAGAGGGCCACAGAGGAGAGCAAAGGGCAGCTGATGCTTGTTTGCTCCCCAAGCCATAAACCTTGCCAAAGTGCAACCCAGGGCCATAAACGTGCCCATGTCAGCCCCATGCCCCCTGGCATGGGGCCCTTGGCCAGGCAGGGAGACACCAAAGCCAGGTAACTCTGCTTGGCCTGAGGGTGGTAAGACCACCTCCCAGAGCTCAGCACCCTTAGGTTTGGTGAGAAGGTGACACAGAGCCAGCAGAGGTGGCACAAACCCCTCCCAGTAGCACAGGCCCCAGCCTACCTGTCAGGTGCTTCTCCGAGGGCACCACCTTGCACTTCTTGAAGAATTCATCTGTGAGGACATCCACCACCAGCAGCCTGGTCTCATCACCACTCGCCTTGATAGCTGCCACCACATCACTGTGCTGCTTGCCCTCCATGCACACACCATTCACCTGCAGGCACCACATCACCACTGAAGCCGGGGGACATCCATGGAGTGATCACATACCCACCTTGGAACCAGTCACAGTCCCAGCACAGCCACCCCATAGCTCCCACAGGCATTCACAGCCTCGCAGGGATTAGCAATGAAGCCAAAAAAACCTCATTAAAAGTAGATTTTCCTTTGAGTGATTGGCATGAGATTGAATGGGCAAAGCTGGCAGGGAATTCCCAGCAGCACATGGACCCTTGTGCCATGCCATGGTCTCCAGAAAGCTTCACCCCAGAAGAGGCAGCAGCACCACACCCTGGTGAGCAGCAGGGCTGGGGCTCAGTTGCTCGTTGCTCTCATGGATCATCATCCCACTGGCACAAACCTGAGCTTATCCCCACCCTGGTCACACCTGACAGCAGGACTTGTGACCATCGTGCACCTTGTCCCCAGCCTGCCCCACCCCAGGGGCATCCCGGGGACAATGCTACTGCTAATTAACCCCCCAGATAGCTAATTAATGCTCATTCCCAGCCCTCCACAGTGCTGCACCCCGGGGTGGGGACCTGCAGGCTGGTGCAGGTCGGGTGGCTGTGCTGTGAGTCACCAGCAGCAGCAGGGACATTGCGTGCCTTCCTGACCTAGGGCAGCTGTCTCCCAGGCACCCAAGCTATTCAGAGAGACCCCTCAGAGCTCCCCTCACCCCAGCACACCTCGATGATGCGGTCCTGGGGGGCCAGCCCTGCTGCCTCAGCCGGTGAGCCGGGGTCGACAGCACGCACATACTGCCCTGGGCGGCTCTTGTCACTGTGCAGGTTGAAGCCATAGCCATCTGGGCCCTTCTTCATGTGGCACAGCCGAGGTCTCAGCTCCTCCTGCAATGGGAACAATCTTAGGGTGAACGGCTCCTGGGGTCCCCAGCATCGTAGGGTGGCACCAGGAACCCCAGACAGCTGCTGGAGTGGCAGGGACACCATCCTTGGGTGTCCATCTGTGGGCACTGACACCTCAAGATGGGATGTAGGGTGCCAAACATCTTATGACCCTGGGCTCTAATTAATTAATTAGGTGCAGAGAACACTAATTGCAGTGAAACATTAAAGAAACATGTTATCATGTGTGTTTTCCCAGACCACGCTCTTCCTTTTGGGATCAAGATTGCAACTGAAGGTGGAGGAGGAAACACAGCCCAGGCTGCTGGGAAGCACCCACACTCCACCCCATCCCACTGGGGAAGCTTTGGCTACTGGAAAGGTCTCAGGGGCTTGAACAGGTCCCCTCCATCACCCCTTTGCCAACTGTAGCCCCTCTCCATCGCAAACCCAGCCATGGGGTCAGGGAGATCCCCCACCCCAGAGCACCCCACAGTCACTGTCAGCAGGGAAGAGGCACACAGAGCAGAATCCAGATGGAGCAGCTGTAATGCTGAGGCACCTCCATGCCCTGGCATGACCTTGTAGGACTGCAAAACAAAAACCAGCTCCACTGGGCGATGCAACTGGGATGCTCACCTCTCTGAGAGGCAACACCTAGCTCATCTGCACCTGGTTTCATCTTGACTTGTGGATCCACCAGTACCTGAAGCCAGGGAACCCTGCTGGGGCAGTCACAGCCATGCACTTGTCCCACTTGGTGCCCTCTAAGCTCCCCACACAGTGAGCAGCAGGAAGAAGCAAGAGCATCCCTGGGAGTCTGGCACACAGGAACTGCCTTTGCTCACCCAGCAGGGAGTGGGATGTCCAGGAAGCATCAGAGGAACCAGGTGACCTGAACCAGACACCTGTATGTGGCACTATCAGAACTGCTCTGACCCTAGCAACCAATACTGCTTCTACAATTTATATATAAAATGGTTTGATCCTATCTTGACCACCAGAAGCTGGGCTTTGGTTGGGCTCTCCCAGCAGTCAACCTCACTCAAACTGCTGGAATATTCCTCACCAAGGGCGCAAGTATTTAATCTTTCATCTGAGATCATTTACTCTGTGTTGGTACCCACAACATCACTGAAGTCAGGCCCTGTCAGGCACACCTGCACCGGGGTGCTCTCTGCCCCCTGCACAGCACTCTTGCATCTTACCACAAGATCACCTTTGCCCACTGCAGGGAAAACTGGACCCTGGGGTGCTGACACCCCAGATGTGACACACTGGTGTGGCACAGGGTCCCACACAGGCTGGGGTGACACATTTACAACTGCTAAGTCAAACACTGCAATAAAGCCCTGATAAAGTCCCATCCTCTTGCACAACACCCTCCTTCACGGTCAAGTCTGGCCGCCACCCTGGGAAGGGAGGTGCAGGCAGCACCCAGCACATCTGCCAGGAGTGAAGGTGATCCTGAGATGCCTCAGCACTGGCATGCAGGACTCGCTCTCCACGTGTCTCAGCTTCACATGCTCAGTGCAACAGCCCAGCTGTGGATTCCCCAGTTGGGTGGAGGATTGTGACCCTCTCGACTTCACCCCTTCCACCCCCCCATCCCCAGGTGGCAGCAGGTTCAACAGGGTGTGATAGCATCTTCCACCCAGACAGAAATCCCAAACAATGATGGGGACAGACAATACCCAAAATAAGGGCTAAAGACAGGAGCTGCTGGAGCCTGGAGGAAGGCAGCACCTCCCCAGATCCCTGCCCTGGCTTGACCCTGAGCAAAGGGCTCAGGCTCTGGAGCACCCACGCTCCCAGTGCCCTTGGCATCAGTGTGGGGTTACTCCACGCCGATAGCTCAGGACAAAGCCAGAGGGAGCACCCAGCAAGCGGTACTGGCAGCGCTCCCGGGCAAGGAGGAGGAGGGAGGGCTTTGCTCCCACCCATACCAACAAAGCCCTGGCAGCCTGGGCTCCCTGAGATGCTGGTGCCGTGAATTTTTTGGGGGGATGGGAAGCCCTGCAGGGTGGACAGATGTCTCAGGACACAGGGGTAGGTCACAGCAGTGAGGGAGGCACTGATCCTGCAAAGGCAGCTAGCCAAGGCAGAAGCACTCAGCACGAGGGCAGCCCAGCTGAGCCACGACCCAGACCCTCAGCATCCCCCCATCAGCAGCTGGCAGCTCCTCCAGCCCAGCGTGCCAGGCTGCCTGCACCCTCCCCAAATCACAGAAACCCTGCAGGCAGCCACCATTCCGCCTCCCAGAGAGGAAAACAAATGCATCCAATCCTCCAGTGGTCGTATCCTGCCCATCCACGGGCGAACACCCCATGACAGAGCATCCCTCCAGCCCCAAAGTCCCCTTTGGGCTGAACGTGAGGCGAGAGGGTTTTGGGCCAACACCCGGGATGCGAGAAGACCCGTGGCTACGGAGCTGGGCAGCGGAAATGCCCCTAATTTCTCTAAGCTGCTGCATCCTGTCCTGCACAGCCAGCAGCTCTCCCACCACGCTGGGACAGGGATTAGCCAGCAGAGCCTCCTTACGAGCAATCACAACCTCTGTCAGGGAGGGCAGGGGGGAATCAGCCCCCTGCACAGACATCCCATGCCTCTCCTCTACACTCAGGGAATGCAGAGAGGCCTCTGTCTGCAGAGATGCCCGCTTGGGATGAGGACTTCTGCAGCATCACGCTGCTCTTCCTACCCTGAAACAGGATTTGGGGCACACAGAGATGCTTCTCCCTCTGCAGCACCTTCAGGCACCTGCCAGGACCAGCAATCCCAGGGTTGTGGGGACCCCAGCTGCACAGTATGTCAGAACTCACTCCCCATTTTCCAGCCCCTCAATAGCAATTTCAGGACAGCTTGTGAAGCCTCAAGTCCCAGGAAATTCCCTGCAGCCCTACAAGCAGCACCAAGCCTGCTGGCGGCAGCAACATTCCCAGTTACTCAGAGAAACACAACAGCTCTGAGGATGCCTGGGCCAGCAAATTCACACGGGTCCCAAAATCTGGCGCACACATTCGGGCTTCATACAAAGGGGATGCAAAGCAGCCTCCTTGCAGCATCCCTGTCACGTCCTGCTCGACTGGAGCTGCTTTTCATGCAGCTGCCTTGAGAGGAAATTTAATTCATTTCCTAATTAAACACCAGCTACCCCAGTGCAATGCTCCCAATGCCAGGGGAACTACTCCCTGTTACATTCTGAAACCCAGCCCTGGGAGGCTCTCCCAGGTTTTACAAGGAGGGATGAGCCTTGTTGGCAGGGAGGGCTCTAATTTAACACTAAATTTGCAAGAGGGAAGCCCGGGGCTGGTACTAAATGCCTTGCCCTGGTAGCAGAGCACTGTGCTGGCAGCACCAGGTGCTGCCCTGGGAACACTGTGTGGTTTGCATGAAACTTTCTCAAGACACTCCCAAGCAGCTGAAGCCTCCGGAAACAAACATAGGGGGAGACAAACTGTCACAGCTCTTGGTGAGGGGACACCTTCACGGCACAGGGTCCCAGGAAATGGGGCTGACCTGAGAGGTGTGAAACTGTCACCACGCTGGCTCAGCACTGCAGATGGGTGCATGGATCAGCTCCCCAGGGAGGCTCAAAACCTCCACTGCAGCCTCAGGGGGATTTGCACACTCAAGGTTTGATAGGAATGAAAAAGGAGCCCATTACACATCTTTCACAACTGCCTCAGGGATCTGTGGGGGTGTCTGAGCCCCCCGGCAGTCCCAATGCTGCAGGACTCAGTATAGTTTGGAGAGAGAATGGATTCTGCTGGAAGGTGAGAGATACTAAACATTGCTCACCACAAGCAGCTCTCCCAGCTCTTGAGCGTCTCCAGGCTTGTTAAACAAATAAAGGCAAGTCCAGCCCAATAATGCAAACAGGACTCTGACACATGTGAATGTCCCACTTCCCCTGTGATCCCAGGGAATCCCACCAACCCACAGTGATGGGATGGGGCTGCGGGGGGATGGAGCAGCCAGCACCAGTTGCCTGCCAGTGTCTGGGAACAGGACAGCAGTGTGCTCCTGCCTCACCGGAGAGAAATCCCTTCCTGCCTGCTCCAGCTTGGCTCAGCATCCCGCCCAGCATCCTCCCACCCTGCTTCACGGGTGCCAGGCCAGGGCGATCTCTTAACCCACTTGCCTTTTCCACTGGGCCCTGCCCCCAGCTGCAAGATTTCCTGCTGCTACCTGTTGAGAAACTGTCTGGGGCCTTGTGGCAATGTCTCCCCATGTCACCCACTTCCTGCTCTAGTGAGGAGAGAAACCACTAGTAGAGAAACCGCCAGTGGTAACTGTGTGTGAGCTGTGCCCTGAGCCTGCTCCCCAAGACTGTGGGGAATCTTCAGCCAAGGCTTTCCCCCAGAGCCCATCAGGTGTCACCAGCTGGGGATGTCTTCCAAAATCTTGTGGGGCATCTCCATCTTCCTAAGCTCCTTCCATCACTCCTGCCAACACAGTGAGCAGGCAGTGGTCCCACAGCATGAGAGGGCTCCATCCTCTTTGGGGACCACACATCCTCAGCCCCCAAGCCTGGCAGGGGACTCACCTGAGCTGCATTAACAACATCCCTTTTATTTTTCCCAGCCCATGGAGAGGTCTGGGAGCAGAAAGCAGAGCACAGACAGTCTTGCCAGCCCTGAGACACCACTGGCACTGTGACACATGGGAAAGCAGGCATGTTCTCCCTGCATGGGGCAGCATCAGAGCCCAGCACAGGAGACACAGCTCAAAACCACCGAATCCTCAGCAAAACCCTATGTGTCAACAGCTCAGTGAAGCACCAAGGTCTTCCTGGGGTTCAGCATCAACACTGGGAAGGCTCCACTGCACCAACCTCTCTGGGAACAGGTCATAAGATCTCCCCAGAAGGATTTTCACACTGGGGACACCAAGAGGCTGCTGCCCAGGGAGCCATCCACATGCCTGTTGTAACAACAAACACGTCTTTGCTGGGTAAATAAAGAGCAGCATTATCTCCCAGACCGTCTCTTAGGAACCGCTTGGGGCATGAAAGGTCAGCTGTTTCTCAATTCCTCACCTTTCTACATCACTTTGTTTGTGCAACTGCTCACTCCCACGCGTGTTTAAGGCCGACATTCCTGAGTTAGGAAGCATCCGTGGGGACTGACTGCCAAGGTAAAGCCCCCAGCCCGGGAAGGGCTCTGCCATCTCCACTCCACAGCAGAGCCTCAACACACTCAAAGCAGGAGTGACCACCACCAATACCTGCAGTCTCAGCCCCAAAAAACACCCTCTGCCAAAGGTTTTTGTTGTATTTTGGGGTGGTTTAGTGACAGTCGCCCTCAGTCCAGTCCTGGACTCAGCTGCACGTCAAAGCTGGCCCTGTTGCTTTTCTCACCCCGTTTTAGCATTCCCGCAGCACAGGGATGGGCTGAAGGGCTACAGGACTCGAGGGGCTCAGTTATGGGTCCAAGCACCCCCTGTGCCCACCTGCCCCTGCCCGTCACTGAAACAGCTGGCAGAAAGGACCATTAAGATGAAAAAAAAAAAAAATATTTAAAAGAAAAAAGGCAAAGCAGTCGGGCGCGGCAGGACCCGGGGCTTCTGGGGAGCTGCGCTTAAAGCAAAGCAAAAAAAGAAAGAATCGAGATCGAAACCACACACGACGCCCAGGGCAGACGCGGCGGCAGCGGCTCCCGCTCGCTCGCCTGCAAGTCGCGACCCCTCCTCCTCGGACAACAGCCTGTGTCCCGAAAACTTCCCAGCCTCAGTGCCCCGGCCGCTCCTTTACCCGCTGCTCGCCACCGCTGGGCTCCCGCGCCGCGGG